ATTATTATTATTATTATTATTATTATTATTATTATTATCGTTGTTGTTGTTTATTATTTTAGTGTACTTGAGCCTACGATCAAAAATAACCTCCCCGGATATATTGCTGCGATACTGCGTTCGTAATTAATTTGCAGTCGCGCAACGGTGAGCAAGGTGTGTAAAGTTAACGGATGAAAATTCTGAAAAATTAAATTGATTAGCAAGCACATCGTACAGCAGTAGTTCTGTAACATTTTCTCTCTGCATATCACTCAAAATTTATCAGGATGATTGCAAACTGTAAAAACTGGTAAAACAAGTGACAGGTAAACAACACGTGATTGCATTTACTAAGAATAAGAATATAATACAAGGAAGCTTGTTCGATCGACTCTGACGAATCGTACAGAAAGTCGAATTCAATCTTACGTAATTTAAATCAAATAAAACCTGATAATTATTCAGATAAGCCTCTATTTTTTACATGGATAAAACGATCACGATTGTTTACATATCAATGTTTTAGTAAAAGTTCAATTTTACTAGTTAATAATTGGCTGATATTCGGTCTGAGCATTTAATTACACGAAAGCATAAATATATCACTGTCCTGCAGTTAATAATAAAAAAATCTGTTCTGCAGTTGATAAATATTACTCGGAATCTCTGTAAATCAATTCGCTGATACTTGATAACAGAACTCGTCTTTTAATTTAACACGATAAGCATAGCTAGTACGTCGTCGTGTGTATATGTATGTATGTATGTATATATATATATATATATACATATATTAGATAGAAACGACACAGGTGTGGTCAAATCAGCGTGGAGCTAAATTTTACACAGTTTTAGGGGTCCAAATATCAATTTCAAACATTATCAGAAAGAAAACCTCGAACCTCTCTTAAGAAGACTGACACACGTAACGTTCTTAAAACTTTCCGAGTTCTATCGTTTCCATCCAGTAGTCGTTTGTAATTGTTGAGATCTTGAACTTGGAAGGAAAACTAAACCGGTTGCTGCCTGCCATCGTTCGTAACAAAGTGTTAAGTCGATTGAAGTTAGTTGATAACGTGTTTAATAAAAGTATATATACTTTGAAATATGCAATGACATTGTGTTACTTCGATTATCCACAGATACAATTCCAGATGATGATTGAGAGAGAGGTGGCGTAAACTGTTAATCGTGTAAGCTGACAATGGTGTTCCTTACCTTGCTTGAAACCTTCGCTCCCTTGTCTACTGTGCGGCCGCGCGAACGTTTCATCCGAGGCTAACAGAGAAGAGAAACAAGAGGCAATCAGACTCTATCGACAATCGACGAGAACGTTTGTCGATCCAACGAAATTAAAAAGAGAGGGGAAAAAACTTCGAGACTACAACTTTGTAGTAGCTTATAGAAATAAGAAAGGGAACGAAAGGGAAAAGTTGCGTACCTTGGGCAGAGGTGCTAGGCGTTGGTTCAGGTTCCCGTTTGACGCGAGGTGTTAGCGACTCGGGTGTGTCAGTACCATTTTCCGTTGGTTCGTCCTTTCTCGACGACGACAAGGAGGAAGAAGCGGCCAGACTGGTTCCCGTGGATGCCGAGTTGCCGCCGACGTTATTGCTGCTCACGTTGTTACTACTTGCCGAAGCGGTGCCGGTGTTTCCGCCTCTACCAGTATTACCGGTGCTTTCGCTCTGAAAGTCGATACTCATCTTCATTTCCATCATCTCCGGCGAACCTTGGACGAGATCCGTGCCCAAACAGGACTGCATCTCCTGGCCCGAGATCTCGCTGATCGGCGTGTCGGAGGAGCCGCTGAGCTTCCTTGGCCTGCCTCTTTTCCTCTTTGGCGCGGATAAGGCCGAACCAAGAAGAGGATGGCTCGACATATGGTGCATCCTCTTCTGCGACACGTGGTGGTGAGGCCCGATTTGGTTTATTCTATGTAGATTCGGCGGTGGCGGAGGTACTGTGTTTTGATTGCCAAGCAACGACGAGGTAATACTAGGCAGGTCACACTTGTCCTCGTTTACCTCGGTCAGGCCCTTTATCCTGAGAGACTCAGCGACTCTCAGGAAGGCGGTTAGCCTGTCCTGGTCGACGCTGACCTCCCCGCGGTACATGAAATCCAAAAGGCTGCGCATGTCCACGTACGGGACATCCTTGAGAATGACTATCGGGTGCTTGTCG